TATAAAAAAATCTTAACACCCAACCCCAAAACCCCAAAACCCCAAAACCCCAAAACCCCAACAAAGTTTATCGTAATTGAAACAACAGAAAATAAACTATATTGTTCACTTAATTTCCCAAAATTGACCTATCTGGTCACTCTCCCTTTAAAATTCTGATTCTATTGATTTTGAATCAGCCTTCTAGATGCCTTCAGCTTGAACTCGAGCTTCATAATGAGAGATCTGAGGATTTCTAGGGGCTTGTCCTCGAGGAAGTTCTCACACAGCTTCTTCTGGATCTTGAGTAGACCTCTCATGACCTCCCACACGGGAGGACTTTCGAGGTCCATTAAAGCTTGAAGAGAAGGCTTTTTCTTATATTTCTTTACTCTTTCGTAGATCTCCTTTTCCTCATCATTTTGAAGAAAATGTCTGATTTTTGAGAAGGGAAATCTGAAAGAAATGAAAGCGACGAACCCTAAATCTCTGATGTTATAGATAATGATAGAATTTTTTGAACATATTTCTATGAACTCCCAGAAGCATCTCCTGTACGCCTTCTCTATATTCTCCCCTGCAAGGTCCTTTCTCTCATTTTTACGATGAGTTTCGAGGAGGATTAAGTAAGGAATCATCGTAGATCGTCTCATAATCTTTAATCTAATACTGTCTGATCTGAAATTGGGCTGAGACTTTGTGTCGAGAATATCATCTCTTAAAATTTCTCCAAGACTAATCTGTAAATCGTTAGTATTAACAATCAGAGGTGGTAGTTTAGGCCTTCCTTTCCTTCTCTTCATTATAGAGTCCTCGGTGGGTTCAGAAGCTTTATCTAACTCAATGCTCGGTAATTGACTATTTTCTTTGGATTTTAAGTTATTTTCCATTATTTTGTGTTTTATTGGGGTCTTCTTTGCTTAGTTCTGGCGAGGAGCCAATTTGAGCCCGGGAAACATCTCCTTTGGCCTGAACTGTCGCAAGTTGTTCCTCCTTAGTCTCTTCAGCTGGCTGAGGTGGTATTATTTCTTGTATTTCGTTTAAAATTGCGACCTAAATGTACATCAGTTTGCTGATTTTCTTTTTAATACCTATCATCAGAAGTTTCGTTCTGATCAAAATGGATAATACAGGAGGGATTGAGAGAAATTTATGACAAGGTTTTATGGACAATAACTACCCTAATAGTTCTTAAGACACATAAAATATTCTTATTTCTAAATTTATTTCTTCTGGAGCTTAGTGGTTCATACTTTATTTCTTGATCGTAAACAAAGTGTAATATAAGCTGAAGAGAAGAAAAATTTATATAAGGGGCTAAATGGAGCTATTTTGATTGATATTACTTCATTCTTTGGCAAAAAATGCACCAACAAGGTCAATATCCTCTATCATAAAAATTAAGTTATCTTTATAAGAATATGCTAGTTTCAAAGAATATTTTGCGTTTAACAATGGGCGTACGAGTCTTAAAAGGCAACTATACTATCCTCACTTAGCAGAAGAGCATGTATAGGCCAAATTGTGTCATCTTTATAACACATCAAATTCTTCTGAAAGGAAAAAGTATTACTAACTCGCTCTTTTAAGCAATAAACTTAGTTCATTATCAATGAACCCTGGTAATTCTCCATATATTTTACCTTAAAGTCATCTATCTGCTTTGCAACCTGTTCATAAACTCCTTGAGGTTTATTCTCAGAGAATGTATTTTCCAATTTGATTGTTCTTGCAGGCGTCTTTGCCTCAAAGCTAAAGTTTAGGTAGAACATTAAAATTGTTCAGTCAGTGGGGTTATAAATGGGGTTTTGGGGTTTTGGGGTTTTGGGGTTTTGGGG